GTGCTCTCTCTGTCCTCTCATCCTCTCTCTCAAATAAATAAAAAAAAAATAAAATCTTTAAAAAAAAAAAAAGAAAAGAAAGAAATGAAGCCCCTCTCCCTGCAGAGTGGAGGTGAGCACAGTTGCAGGGCCGCGCTGTTACCTTGGGGTACTCAGGCAGCTTTTACATAAGGAGGAAGCCACCTGGGCGCGGGCACACGTTTCTGAGCAGGTGATAAACGCTACTGGGAAATGAGAAATGATGGGCACGACCGACCAGCCTGCATCAAGCTGCCCCCATTCAAGTAACTTATTCACACAAAGGAACTGGTTCTGGTCAGTCACTCTTATCATATAACGTTGACCTCAGAAAAGTCTTTGCCTAGACGTAAAGTGAATCATAGCATCGTCCTCAACCACAGTACATTTAAATATCCAAGATCCTTTAAAATCTTAGGAAAATCGAGAGCGACAACATTTGGTGAATCAAGAATGGCCGACTGGTTTAACACCGGATGTTACATGCTCCACTTTGGAAATCCCAACAGGGCACTCACATGTTGTAAATAAAAATGTGGTCTGGCAATTCCTTAATGCTGTTTGTAAAATAAATGTCATTCTATCCATTTATAGCTCTGGACAAGGGACACGCATGCTAAGTTCCTCACCAGAGCCAACTACCATATACTTTGCCAGGCCCAGTGAAAAATGAACATGCAGGCCCCTTGTTCAAACATGATTAAGAATGTCAAGACGGTGACAGCGAGCGTTCAACCCAGTGGGGTGCCCTAGGAGGTGGCCCAGGTCACACGCCCGTGAAGCCGGGCCTGCTCCTGGCACGGTAATATTCAGGCTTCAAGGAAGACACTTGCCAACTGGCTCTAGACGCTCCGAGGTCAGAGGACACACTGACACACTGCTGCTGACGACCTTAACTTACATGTTGACTGAAGACTGAAATATTACACTGAGCTTTTCCAAGCCACATACCACTAGTTAGGGCATCCCCCCTGCCACCCCTGGAAAGTGCTTTATGACCCAAATACTTTCCCGGCTTTACAAGACATTTTTTAAAAAATTCATTGCATTGAAAATATTTTGAGACACGCTGGCTATTTTACCTTCTTCGTGTCCAAGTTGCTTATTTTTAGCTCTCTTTCTGGCCTCGATTTTATCCGTGTCCGCATTCACTGCGTCATAAACTGTTTCTGCCACTTCCTGCTGCCAGCGCTCCGAGATCAGCAAGGGGAAGTTCTTGTAGAGATCTTGGTCGCAATCAAGAAGCTTATTATTTTAAGAGATCAAGATAGTTATGATTTAACATACTCAGCAAGGCAACAGATTCAGAAGTACTCTAACCGTACACGGGAAGATAACGGGACAACGGCACACAACCCTTCAGAGACGGCTCGGTCACCGTCACAAATGTCGGCTACTGATAACCATGCAGCCGGACTCTGCCAACGCGCCTGCGGACAGCACCTCACGTCCAGTCCCACGTCAGGGAAGATGCAGCCCGTCCTCTCATACCATCTTCGTTACCTTTCACCAATGAAAAACTAACCCGTACAGGGCTTTATTTAAAGTCCAAAAGGATCCGACAACAAAATAGAATGTCAAGGATGGCGAGGAGACTCTATTTGCAAAAGTAGGAACTTATATCCTGTACTTTGAGAAACAATTAAAAGGGAGAAGGTAGGAGGGTTTTCTCACCACCCTCGATTCATCTGAAAAGTGAGATGAGAAGAAGGGAGAGGAGGCTGAATTTTCCATTCATTCCATGAACCTTCCAACCTTCCACGAACCCAGGGTAACAGCGTGATGAAATGCACAACCACGGCGCTCAGGAGACATGGGGGGTTTAGGCAGCTTCGCCTTTAAGAGGCACTGGGGTAAAAATTACACTTAATGATAGCATTTGTCTTCCAAACTACTACTCAAAATCCTTCATTCCTCCCCCTGAGCTTAGAGGCCACGCTCTGAAAATGAGCAAAGAGAATGATTTTATGCCACCGAGCTACATGCAGAAAGGTGAATGATGTCACTGAAAGAAAGGAACACATCTGTCATTCAAAAGCACAGAACTCTTTAGAAACTTGATTTGCGTGCTCCTTTGCCTGAGAGAGAAGTACTGGATAGATAATTAGAACAGGCAAGTTATTTGCAAGAAAAAGAGCAAGAAGAGGCACTTGCGCCCAAGACTTCAGCAAATCGATGAAACACGGAGGGTTCTCCAACTGCCCTTAGTGACCTATTATGATCATGTGTTGATTTTAGGATTGCTTTGATTCTCAGAGCCTTCCTTTCCTCTTTTGGCTTCCTTCAGAAGCCCAGGCTGAGCCCAGAGCTGAAATCCTCAGTGGCTCAGAGCATGAATGCTGGAGGCACGTGCCCAGCCATGCATGAATGTGCGTGTGTGTGTGTGCGTGCGTGTGCGCGTGCGTGTGCGTACATGTGTGTGTGCGTGTGTGTGTGGGGGGGGATTGCTAGTGCACCAGGCCACAGGGTCACCCTGTGATCCGGGACAGATTCTGAAGGCTTTGCCAAAAGTAAAAACACACTCCTTTCCAAAGTAGTTGCTCGGAAAGGGCCAACTCTGCTATGTATACAAACCATTTTACTTCCTAGAATTTCAGAGAGCCTTGACTTTTTAGGACTTAGCGTAAGTTGTTAAAAGTGAATAAAACAGGGCGCCTGGGTGGCTCAGTTGGTTAAGCGACTGCCTTCGGCTCAGGTCATGATCCTGGAGTCCCGGGATCGAGTCCCGCATCGGGCT